GTTATTCAAGTTTTCTTGCGTAGCAATATCCACCGAAGATACTGTTTTCTCCAATGTATCATCCTGCACCATATATATTTTCACTTCGACCCATTAATTATTGATTTTTACTGTGAGTTTGGATCATTGATTATGGTATAGATTCATAGTATGGATATCCCAAATACCTGAATTCGGAGGTAATTTTTCTCACAGTCAAGAGCTTGAAAAACAGTAGCAAGGTGGAAATCGACCATGTCATTACTTGCTTGAGTAAATACATCTATCAATGGAGAGGAACCCCCTTTCGTCAACCATCCCAAAAGACCCCATTTAGCTGCATCATCGGCATCATATTTCTCTTCAGATTTTGCTGAACCAGTACCCAACGATATCACTAAGAACCGACCATACTCAGTTGACCTTATAGCAAAGAAGTCAGAATTTCCCTGGTGGATTTCTTTTGTCACTTCGCTCATAGCAACCAAAGCCTGATAAGAAAAAACAACAATATAATGAACGAGAGCTAAATAAGCTTTTGAAATTGCATGGTGTATTATATATCAAGGCCATAATTTAATTACATATATATACCGGGTTGTTAGCAGCAACGCCACCATCAATGAGATCGAAATCTCTTGATTCACCAGTGGAAGTTTTGGTTTCAAAATGGTGCGCTGGAAGATAGGTTGGGGCTGCTGAAGTCCCAATGCATATATCCGACAGTAAAGCATTTATGCTAGTGTTCTTTTTCTCCTATAATCACCATCAAAACACAAAACCAACCATGTAACTATATTAGATTTAACAAAACAAACATATATATACACACATACACATATATATATATATATATATTTAAAGATATGAAAACAAACCTCATAGCTAGAGAAGACCATTGGTTGTAGCCGCTTTATATCAAAAGTTGGGATTATAACGTTTGTTAACGTGTCACTTAATCGTATGTCTCCTAATATTTCCTTCATTATCTTATGTAAATACTTCCCATCATACTTTGGTCCTGACACAGCTTTTACCATGTCCATGGCCTTACCAATCAATGTATAGTTGCTGCACAAGCAAAATATATATGTGATTGTTAGCCACTATATATGTATAATATTAAAAAAGAAAAAGGTGTTCAAGCTAAGATTAATTATACTAATAATTGATGTACATGTACAAGATTAATGACATTGAGTTGAAGTTAAGATTGATGTTAAATAGCTTGTTAGGTACCTGTCTTGAGGGAAGATCTTAGGACAATGTTCGAGATAAAAATCGTTAATGTCTTTAGCAGCAAATAGGGGTCGATTATTTTCATCTGGGGTAGTAAGCATGGCAGTCACAAGCCCACCAGTGCTAGTCCCTGCAATCACATCAAAGTAATCTACAAGCCTTGCTTCTTCACCATCCAGCTTCTGCATATGTGGCAAAGTTCAGGTGAAAATAAATTAGCAAGACAATCACTTTAAACATTATTAATTAAAGTTAAATTATTGGTTTTAATATATATATGCTTAATTACCTGAAGCTCGGATTCTAGGAATTTGAGTATAGTTCCGGGAATAATCCCTCTAATTCCACCTCCATCAATGCTCAGAACGGTGACGATGTTCCCGTAAGTGGGAGACTGAAGAAATGATCTTGCTCTCTCCATTTGAGATGAAAGAGAAGGCATACAGAATGCTGCACAACACAGGAAATGTATAGGAGAGGTACTCGGAAGGAAGAGTGCTTATTTATTATGAACTAATGAATAAAACTGCAGAGAGAATAAGCTTGAACCCTAAAAGAAGGTTGATGATGATGGGATTAATTGAGCTTGAGCACCTAGCTATGCCTTATATAGAGATCTTTTCCCCTTCCAACTTTGACCCCAAATTTGTATGCATGTCGCTATAACAAGTTTTAAGTTGGACCACTTCTGTCTGACTTCTCTAATTAAAAAAAGGGCTTGTCCAATATAGATCCCTACATTTTCTATTCCCTAGACATATACCCACCATTCTATAAATCTATGTGTAAAACCCAATTTCAAATTTAAATGACTAGTAGGATATCGGAGGTCGTAGTATTTCTATGTTTTTACATCATTGCCACTAAGCTTCATATTTTATTTATAATTTATTTCAAGCATTTCATTAACTGCCATAATTGTAATTAATATACTCCCTATTAATAGCATATCAATC